CTCCATTCTGAATCGTGGGAGGGGTGATTGCAGAAGAAGCTTACATACTATATGACGTCTAAACATATTAATCTGTTAACAATCAAGAATTTGTGCATTAAGCTAAGAGTACACTTTGATAGCCTTCCAAATCATTTATTAATCCTCAGAAATAAGAATCTGGCATGAATTATGAGAGAATGCATAGACGCAAAGTCTGTGGCATTAGCAAAGTGGCTTTTTTAGAATGAATAAATATATAGTACAGATTTTAAATAGAATTTATTTAACATAAATGTCTTACTTTGAAGATTTATCTTAAAACCAATAACATCCTGGAGTCTAGGAAACTCATTATTATTTTTAAAGATTTAGTAAAAACAGAAAATGTGGAAATGGTACCATCAGTCCACAGAATTCCAGTCACATCCAGGACAGGTGAGCAAGTGATCTAAGCTTGCTAACAGGAATGGAATGAGAATCCAGATACACATGAGTAAGCTTTCAGCTGTCACTCACTACATAAAGTAACAAGGTCAGGGAATTGGCTGAGAAAGGCAGTAGTAGTCAGATCCTGTAGATATAAAAAGGCCACTCAAAGTCAGGTGGTGTGAAAGGCCCTGGTTTCAAAGGTATTGAGTACACCATGAACTTAGTCCTGGTTCTAAAGGTAAATTCTGCCTCTAATTTAGGCAGGGACAGAAAATCCAAACACAGGTAATAGACGTGAAAGGCCATGTGAGCTGACACCTTCTTACTACACACCTGCTCTGAAGAGATTTTCAAAGATAAAGAGAGAGCAAACTGGTGTGACGGAAGGTGTGCCACATAGCCAATATCTTTCTAAAGACCCACCAGTATAATTATATTATATATCTGAATTCAGATGTTTATTGTACTTACTTCCAGTAAATTAAATAAATAGTATTTTAATTGTTTAAGGGAAGGAATTTCCATTTTGTTCTTTCTTACTGTTCCCAGTTCTCTGATGGAAGTACTAGGCTTCTCCTTCATCTCTTGAACATTGAAATAAAGTATATTATTAAACATCTAACTCCATTATCTGAATCCTAGGATTCTGTTATATGTTGTTTCTCTCAGTTTTTAATCATGTAATCTTGTCTCCTCATGCAACTAGTTATTATTTTATTGATTTCTAGAGAATTTATTTGAAAAACTGTGTAAATAATTTGAGGCTGTGATGATACTGCATTTCAAATTTTGGCATCAATTCAGACTGCTGGAACTCCTATATTATTTTAATTCAATTTTAGGAATTTAGATAACTGGAATATTGCCTTCAGTCTCTGCAACTGCTGATTTATTTCTGATTTACCCTTACTCCTAGAACGCAGACCTTCGGGGTTGCTTATTAGGCTCCTGTTACTTAACAAACCCCAAACTCCACTTTTTGTCCATCTGGTCTCACAACATTGTCAAAAGCTCTGCTCAGCTTCTATGCCTCCCAGTTGCTTTTTCTGGATTTGAAAGGTATTCCAGGGGGAAAATGGCTTCAAATACTGAGATCACCTCTGTAAGTTTTCTTTTTTCCAATATCTTGGAAGTTCTTCATTGCCTAGAAATTTTAATCAGGAGCATTGATGTGAAAAACCTTCTCCATCATAACAAAAAGCAGATGAGCAGACAATTCCAATTTCTTCACTGACTATTGCCTGAGTTAAGAAACCATATAGTGGCCTGAATAGTAAAAATTCTCAATAAATTTCATTCCTACTGTTCAATTCATGACCAACAATAAGATTTCCTGAAGACAGCTCAGGACATTCAATAACACCTAAGGGCCAGCCTTCCACTGAAACATAAACAGTTCCCAAAGGCTCTTTTCACATTGCTAAGATGTTAGAAATCTCAAAACATAAGTGACTGTACCCGCTAGTATAACTGTGAGACCAGGCTCATCCTGTTGATACTTGCACTTAACAACTTGCCACTCTCTCTTGATCATTCATTGTATGCAGAAAATGAATCAAGAGAAGTTTTTAACTATGAAAATTGAAATGCTCTGATTGTTGTAAGAAGAGATTCACAAAAAAAATATTTGACTTTGCTGCTTTCAGCCTCAAACTTCCCAAAGCCAAGTAAATGCCAATCTTAAATTCACCAGTTGTATGACTCTATGCATTCCAGCTCTAAGTTAAACTATGATGCACTCCAACAGGACATTTGGATTTTGTGAGAGGAAGCACAGAAGATTTAGAGTTTATGTGCTTCAGACTTTTCTTACAAAAAGTGGAATGAGAATTGCCGTATCGAAACTTTATGCCCAAATAGAATTTATAACAGAATTAATTTATGCATACAAATAGGAAATTTTTTCTTATTTTCCTTCATGGCACTAGAAATTAATCTTAGGAAAATAAATCAATAAAGGCATGTCATTTTATTAATTCGATGTGTTATCACAGAAACATAATAAATTACCATGTGAAAATCCAGCATTAAGAGCATGCATTTATAAACTATGATACGTAAACAAAATATAATATTGTACAGCCATAAAGTGATACATATACAGACCATGCAAATCTATTAAAATATTTTATGAAATGTAATTCAACATTTATTCCATTGGTTATAATATTTCAATCTCTAGTCCAATTCTCTCCCCTGATCTTAGACTCATGTGTCCACGGACTACCTGACAACCAGACGTGGAGGTCTAATTCACAGCTCAAACTTAGAATGTCCAAAACCAAACTCTTGATCTCGGTCCCCACTACTGTCCCCATACTTTTCTCTATCTAAATAGGGAACTCTCCCTTATAGTGCCCAGGGAAAAACTTTGGAGCCATCTTGAGACCCTTCTCTCACACTCCTTGTCAAAGCCATCAGCATATTACGATCCTACCTTCAAAATATATCACTTCTCAGCTCCTCTACTCTTACTGCCATAGAACAAATCTGTCATCATCTCTTCCCTGGATGACGGCAATGGTATCCTAACAGAGAGATCCTATACAACTACATATCAAATCATGCCCTGCTCTATTCAAGACTATCCTACTTACTAAAACAATGAAAACAAAACCTAGAGCCTTAGAGAAGTCTACAAAGTCCTACACAATGTGGCCTCCTCATTGTTTCTCTGATCTTATTTCCACTACTCTCCCCTTGCACACTCCACTTTAGCAACGTTGGCTTCCTTCTATTTCTCCAACATGCTGGTCACATTTCTGCCTCAGAAATGTGCAGTTTCCTCAAACTAAAACTCTATTCCTTGGAGGCATTTCTACAGCTCATTTCCTCACCACATTAAGAATTTAATTAAGTCACACCTTCTCGTTCTCACCTTCTCCATGACCTTCTATAATAGATTCATCGCAAAAATGGATCCCCCTTAAGCCATCCCTCCCTATATCCATGCCTTTTCCAATATAACTTTGTAGCTCTTCTTATCAAGAGATAAAGGCCATTTACACTCTCCTTCAATAGGATCAATTGCATTAATCATTAGAATGCATCAAATGGGATATTGTGACAGTACTGAGTCTAGGCTTGAAGATGCCTTATGTGGTTTGACTTTTTTTCTTGGAAATCTGCCAAATGCCATGGGAAATTGAGCTTAGTCAGCCAGTTAATGAGAGACATAAGGCATAGTCACCCAGACAGCCCTAGCTGATGGTCAACCAACTACAGAAATGTGAAAGAGATGAAAGAAATGTGAGCCTTTCTGTATTAACTAACCCCAATTGGCCTGTTACTTAACTTCAAACACACAAGCAAGCCGGCCAAGATCAATCAAGTGTGGCCCATATTAACAGAACTAATCAGCTGACCCATAAACATACCATCAATAAAAATACTACCATTTTAAGCCACCGCTTTTTGTGGGTGGTTTATTACATGACAATAACTAACCACTACATCATCCAATTTTAAATTTCTACTCACTCTTATCCCCGCAATCTTTCACCCTCTCCCTAGCTTTATTTTTCTTCCTGTACTTAGAAAACAACAGTAAATGTTTACTGATGCAATTGTTTATTGTCTGGTGCTCCCAAAAGGAATGAAAGCAGATATTTTTGCTCCTGACACATAGGAAGAACTCAAAAAACATATCTTGAATGAATTGATGGCATGGATTCCTCCATATTGATACTTTAAGTATATATTTAGTGATTACAATAAGCCGTTATGCAGGTAAGAGTGTTCAGACTACACTGCTCTGGTTTTCTGGCATCTTTCCTGAGGCTAAATTTCATTAAGCCAAGTATTTCAGAAGGAGGTCAAGAAATAATACTAAAATAACAGGAGATTTTCTATTTTTACATTGAAATGGGTATGTTAATTAAATGCCATCTGAGGGACTCAGGTTGTAGCACACTTAGAGCCACGATTTCCTTCAGTCACAAAGTTAGACTTGGGTGGCCAAGGGATGGAGTTAAAGAGAAAGTTGGAAAATGAGGAGAAAAGGCAATATGGAACACTGTCATATATTTCTTGAGAGACACTGGCAAAGAATTAGAGAATTGCCTTTGTAAAAATGAGTACAACTGTGGAAATGGAGAGAAGATAAAAAGGGAGGAGAGAGAGTAAGAAAGCAATTTCAGTGACATTGACCAGAAAGACTTGGCTGGAAAAGCGATCTGGAAAAAGAAACAGCAAAAGAGTGAAAGTACACTCTACGTGGAAAGTTTTGAATAGGAGAGGTCAAGGGTTTCATATTGGAAAGTGCAGAGTTGGAAAGTGATTGCAGATAAAGAAAACAGATCAGGAAAATCAGAAATTAAAATAGAAATGTTCCAGAATCAAGGAGGCACAGGGAAGAGAGAACTGATCATCAGGGAAAATTCATTGGATCTTTCTCCAGAGGTTAGAGACAAACCTTATTGACTTAATTATGTGATCAGTCCATGGAAAACATGCAGGTTACTGTGACACAAAGCCCCCTGATCTTTAAGAGATCTTTACTGCATTTTTCTTAAATTATCTCCCACAAAAAGGATCCAAAAAACCCATCTCCTTTAATTTTCCCCTACAATCTGTCCAAGGAACAAGTCAGGTGATATGACCTCTCAGGCAGATGGAAGAATGTGCACATAGATGCCTGTGTGGTGAGGAAGCAGCTGCTGCAGCAAAGACTCACTGAGCCACGGTTTTGGGGAGGAGGTTTGTGTTCGAGCCTGAAGCACTGTGGGAGGATTATTATAATGCTGCATACAGTAATAAATGGCCACATCTTCAGCCTGGAGGCTGCTGATGGTGAGAGTGAAATCCATCCCAGATCCACTGCCACTGAATCGGTCAGGGACCCCAGATGCTCTGCTGGATGCAGCATAGATGAGCCGCTTAGGAGCCTGTCCTGGTTTGTGCTGGTACCAAGCTAAGTAGCTGCTAACACTCTGACTGGCCTTGCACTTCATCTCGACTCTCTGTCCTAGAGACGCTGCCAAGGAGTCTGGAGACTGGGTCATCATGACGTCCCCACAGGCTCCTGCAATCAGAAATGGATAATGATGATACACACACACTTTATCATTGAAATACGTAAGTTAAGATGTGCCTTCTCATGGTATTACAGGTCAGCACATAATTGGATCTATTTTGGAAATAGCCAGTATTTCCCAGTATATCTTAAAAAAAATTTTTTTAACTCTAAAATGATATTACTCCAAAAGACTGAGGCACTTTTAAATTTCTCACCTGAGACCCAGAGCAACACAGATATAAGGACCTGCGTCTGCGTCAGCATCTTGCTGCCCCTGCCTGCCTGATACAGCGCAGCTCACACTGGAAATGCCCCTTTTATAAAACCCGAGCAGATGACCTGGGCCTGCAGGGGCCTATGCAAAACACTCAATGAGTTTAGAAGCAAATGGCATGTGCAGTGGGCTGTGAAAGCATCTAATGCAAATCAAGAGCCAAAAATATGATCACTAACAGTGTATTTGTATGACCAGAAGACACAAAAGTCCACTTAGAAGCTCTAAGATCAACTTAGAATTCTGAAACTACAAACTGATGGATGATCTAATGAAGAGCTTCTACTTTAAATTCAAAAATGTTTTTAAATGAATTCCGTCTCCAGAAATGATGGGTTAGTTTCCTCATATCAACAATCCTGATGAAGTAATGAAACACGTTAGGAAAATAAGCTATAAAAGGAGAGAAAAAGGAAAGGAGGGAGGAAGGAAAAGAAGAGAAGCAACAAAAGGAAAATGGGGAACTTTAGGCCCAATGTTTTTAAAAAATCCATGATCAGAAAATGTCTGGACTCTAAAGCCATTTTTATCCTGAAGGTATGTAAGGACACTGCAGACACTTGAGCTTGGGTTTTTGGGCCATGCAAGGGCCAGAGAGATAGAACACAGCTCCAGAATTTACTCATTTAGAAAGACACATGGGGCCCTAATTTGAGTTAGGGGCCAGAGGGACTCTAATTTCAAAGTAAGAGTCAACCAAAGAGAAACTAGGACCTATCCTTCCCACAACTGGTAGGAACTGAAAAGAATGCACTGCATTCATTGAAGAAATGGGGAGAAAAAAGAAAACCAAGTGGGATTTCCTTGGGAACTTATGGCTGCAACCAACATTGGCAAGGATTTTTACTCCACTTGTACATGGCCTACATGGGTCTGGAACTCTCCCTCCTTGGCACTGGGTTAAGATATTTCTACTATGGCCGGCCCGGCGGTGCAGTGATTCAGATCGCACATTCTGCTTTGGCAACCTGGAGTTTGCTGGTTCAGATCCCGGGTGCGGACATGGTACTGTTTGGCAAGCCATGCTATGGCAGGTGTGCCACATATAAAGTAGAAGAAGATGGGCACCAATGTTAGCTCAGGGCCAGTCTTCCTCGGCCAAAAGAGGAGAACTAGCAGCAGATGTTAGCTCAGGGCTAATCTTCCTCAAAAAAAAAAAAAGGATATTTCCACTAATATGGACCCCAAATGGAAGCTGCACCAGAGAAGGGCACACAAAACCTCACAAATAATTTTTCAAGCACTAATACAACCAAGAAATCAAAGATTCTTAGCATCCAAGAAAATAAGGTGACTTGAATTTGAATGAGAAAAAACAAAAATAATAAAGAAAGAGTTCTGACCAGACTTCACATTTGGGAATTATGAAAGTATGAAAGGTTGTTTAAAGAAAGAAATTACAAATTTGACGTTGTGTGGAAGGTACAGGAAACTGAAAGAAAAGCCACTGTAGATTTAAGAAGAACAAAATAAAATTTCTATAAGTTAGAAATAGAATAACCATAATTTTACACATCAATTATCTTAACAAAAATAGCCTAAACTGAGTGGCTTATAAAGAAAAGAAATTTATTTTTCACAGTTCTAGAGGCTGGGATTACCATAATTATGCCACCAGCAGAGTCAATGTCTGGTGAGTACCCACTATCTGCTTCATATATGGCCATGTTCTTGCTGTATCCTCACATGGTGGAAGGGGTGAAGGAACTCTCTGCAGTCTCTTTTATAGGTTACTATAGCTTTATCGTATATTTTGAAATCAAGGAGTGTGACATCTCTAGCTTTGTTCTTTTTTCTCAAGATTCCTTTTGCTATTCAGGGTCTTTTGTTGTTCTATATAAATTTTAGGATTCTTTGCTCTATTTCTGTGAAAGATGTCATTGGAACTTAATAGGGATTTCATTGAATCTGTAGATTGCTTTAGGAAGTACGGACATTTTAACCATTTTAATTCTTCCAATCCAAGAGCATGGAATATCTTTCCATTTCTTTGTGTCTTCTTCAATTTCTTTCAACAAAATTTTATAGTTTTCAGTGTACAGATCTTTCACCTCTTTGGTTAAGTTTATTCCTAGATATTGTATTCTTTTGTTGAAATTGTAATTGGGATTGTATTCTTAATTTCTCTTTCTGCTACTTGCTATTAGTGTATATAAACGCAACTGATTTTTGTATGTGGATTTGTATCCTGTGACTTGACTGTATTCATTTATTATTTCTAAAAGTTTTTTAGTGGCTTCTTTAGGGGGTTATATATATATATAAAGTCATGTCATCTGCAAATAGTGACAGTTACACTTCTTCCTTTCCAATTTGGATCCCTTTTATATCTTTTTCTTGCCTTATTGTTCTGGCTGTGACTTCCAAAACTATGTTAAATAAGAGTAATGAAAGTGGGCATCCTTGTCTGGTTCCCATTCTTAGAGGGAGAGCTTTCAGTTTTTCTCCAATGGGAATGATATTAGCAGTGGGTTACTCATGTATGACTTTATTACCTTGAGGTGCTTTCCTTCTCTACCCATCTTATTCAGAGTTTTTATCAAAAATGGATGCTGTATCTTGTCAAATGCTTTGTCAGCACCTATTAAGATAACCAGGGGATGTTTAATCCTCATTTTGTTAATGTGCTGTATCACATTGAATGATTTGTGGATGTTGAACTATCCCTGCATCTCTGGAATAAATCCCACTTGATCTTGGTGTATGACCTTTTTAAGTATCGTTGTATTTGATTTGCTAGTATCCTATTGAGGATTTTTGCATCCATGTTGATCAGTGATATTGGCCTGTAATTTTCTTTTTTTATTTTGTCCTTATCTGGTTTTGGTATCAGGGTAATGTTGGCTTCAAAGAATGAGTTAGGAAGCTCCCCTCCTCTTCAATTTTTTGGAAGAGCTTGAAAAGGATAAGTATTAAGTCTTCTTTGAATGTTTGGTAGACTTCATCAGGGAAGCCATCAGATCCTGGATTCTTATTTTTGGGGAGGTTTTTGATTACTGTTTCAAGCTCCTTCCTGGTTATCAGTTTATTCACATTCTCCATTTCTTCTTTATTCACTTTTGGAAGGTTGTGTGATTCTAAGAATTTATCTGTTTCTTATAGATTATCCAACTTGTTGCCATACAGCTTTTCATAGTATTCTCTTATGATCTTTTGTTTTTATCAGGTGTTCATTGTAGTTTCTCCTCTTTCATTCTTTATTTTATTTCAGCCTTCTATCTTTTTTTCTTGGTGAGTCTTACTAAAGGTTTGTCAATTTTGTTTATCATTTCAAAGAAACAGCTCTTGGTTTTCTTGATTTTTTTCTGTTGCTTTTTAGTCTCTATTTCATTTATTTCTCCTCTGATTTTATTTCCTTTCTCCTACTGATTTTTGCCTTCCTTTGTTCTTCTTTTTCCAGTTCCTTTAGAGCCAGTGTTAGGTTGCTTACTTGAGATTTTTCTTATTTGTTGAGGTAGCCCAGTATGCTATAAACTTCCCTGTTAGAACTCTTTTTGCTGTGTCCCATAATTTTTGGCATGTTGTATTTTCATTTTGATTTGTCTCCAGGTATTTTTTTATTTCTCCTTTGATTTCTTCATTGATCCAATCGTTGGGCAGTAGCATTTTGTTTAATCTCCACATTTTTGTGGCTTTTCTGATTTTTTTCCTGTAGTCGATTTCTAGTTTCATACCTTTGTGGTCAGAAAAGGTGCTTGGTAGTATTTCAATCTTCTTAAATTTATTGAGACTTGTTTGTGGCCTAATATGTGATTAATCCTGGAGAATGTTCCATGTGCATTTGAAAAGAATATGTCTTGTGTGGTTTTTGGATGGAATGTTCTGTATATATCTACTAAGGACATCTAGTCTAATGTGTCTTGTAAGGCCAATGTTTCCTTACTGATTTTCTGTTTGTATGGTCTATCCATTGGTGTAACTGGAGTGTTAAAGTCCCCTACTATTATTGTGTTACTATTTCTCCTTTTATTTCTGTTAATAGTTGCTTTATATCTTTAGGTGCTCCTATGTCGGGTGCATAGATATTTACAAGTGTTATATCCTCTTTTTGGATTGTTCCCTTTATCATATTTAGTGCCCTTCTTTGTCTCTTGTCACGGTGTTTGTTTTAAAATCTATTTTGTCTGATGTAAGTATTGCTACCCCAGCTTTCTTTCATTGCCATTTGCACGGAGTATCTTTTTCCATCCCTTCACTTTCAGTTTCTGAGTGCCTTTAGGTCTGAAGTGTGTCTCTTGTAGGCAGCATATAAATGGGTCTTGTTTTTTTAGCCAATCAGCCACCCTATGCTTTTTGATTAGAGCATTTAGTCCATTGACATTTAAAGCAGCTATTGATAAGTATGCACTTATGGATGTTTTACTAGTTCTTCTTTGTTCCTTTGTTCTTCTCTTGGTTTCTTCCTTTGTGGTGTGATGGCTTTCTTCAGCATTATGTTTGGGGTCCTCTCTCTTAATTTTTTGTGTATTTATTATAGGTTTCTGGTTTGTGATTACTATGAGGTTCATATATAATAACTTATGTATACAGCAATCTATATTAAGTTGGTGGTCTCTTTAGTTTGAGCTCTTTCTAAAAGCTCTACTCTTTTACTCCCCTCCTCCCACATTTCATGTTTTTTATATCATATCTAACGTCTTTTTTTATGTTCATGTATCCATTACCCTCTTATTACTAAAATAGGTAATTTTAATACTTTTGTCTTTTCACCTACATATTATCTTCATAGGTGGTTGATCTGCTGCCTTTACTGTATTTTTGCCTTTACCAGTGACATTATGACCTTTTTAGTTAGATAATTTTCTTATATCCTATTTGTGGTCTCCTCTTCCCCACTTAAAGAAGTCTCTTTAGCATTTCTTCTAAAACTGGTTTCTTGGTGATAAACTCCTTTAATTTTTGCTTGTCTGGGAAACTCTTTACCTTTCCTTCCATTCTGATGATAACCTTGCTGGATACACTATTCTTGATTGCATGTTTTTTTCCTCTCAGCACTGTAATTATTTCATGCCACTCCCTTCTAGCCTGTACGGTTTCTGCTGAGAAGTCAGCTCATAGTCTTATAGAGTTTCCTTTCTATGTTACTTGTTGCCTT